GCACTAACACCCATAGCAACCCTACAGTTGTTATTTCTATGCCTAAAATCACTATAATCATTAATATGCTTCTTTAGTATGCCTTTCTAGACTCTCCATGGCAGTGCCTAATTTTCCAACTTCAATTCCCAATTCTTCCCTTACCCTTTTTGTCATAACCATACTCAACTTGAATTTACCAGAATTCTCATCTTCTTAGGCTTCTGAGCTCATGCAGATATGTTGCTACCTCTGCCTGGAACACACACACCTGTACATTCACCTTCCAGCTCCTACCAATCCAACTATTCTTTAGAACAGGGGTGTCAAACTTATTTTCACCAGGGGCCACATCAGCCTTGAAGTTGCCTTCAAAGGGCCTTATGTAATTTCAACTCCTTAACAGTTAAGGAGTGGTTACATTTATACAATCCTAAAATTATTTCAGCCCTTTGAGGGCAAACTCAAGGCTGATGTGGTCCCTGGTGAAAATGAGTTTGACACCCCTGCTCTAGAAGCTCTATCTGGTCGCTCTAGCTGATAAAGATGCCTCTTTTATGAACATCCACAGAAATTTGGGCAAAGCTTATAGCACTCATCACTCCGCATTATAGTATTTATTGGGTTGGTCAAAAAGTTCATTTATTTTTTTTCCATAAAGTAAAAGACACATTTTTCATTTTCACCAAAAACTTTATTGATTTGGATATTGTGAGTATGTTGGGTACCTCCTGTGTGGTATATAATGTTGATTGTTCTCAGTTAATGTCTCAATTTGATTGCTATCAATTGTGGAGCATCATCCAGTTAGATATCTCCAGCACAAAACTTTGCAAACCACTTTTGACACATTCGATCAGTTAGAGCACCATCTCCATACACTGCACAAATCTTTTTGTGTGTTTCAGTTGCATTTTATCTGTCTTGAAATAATAAAGCACAATATACCAAAAATGTATTTTCTTCCATCTTCCATATTAAGATGGCTACACAAAAATTCACCAATTTTGATTAGTTTTTTATTTTATTTATTTATTTTTTGGTTTCATGTCTAATTTTTATTCCAAAATATAAAGCTCTTCCGAATTAAAGTACAGTTGACACACAATATTGTATTAGTTTTAGGTGTAGAACATAGTGAGATTTAACATTTATATACCTTACAAAGTGATCACCACAAAAAGTCCACTGTCCACCTGTCACCATACAAAGTTATTGATAAGTTTTTTTAAAATGCACACTGATATAACAGCTGTCATAGTACAATCTAATGAAATTGTTTCAAATGAAGTTAAAGACAACTAAGTAAAGCTGGAGTCATCTTACAGGAAAAACCAAATAAACTTTTTGGCCAACCCAATATTTACACAACTCTCTGAGTTCAGGACAGGGACCATGTCAGTTTGGGAAGTTTTTAGTTATTTCTTTGCATACTTTGGGGGACCTGACCTACATTTCTCCTTTCCTTCCGGGACTCTGATAACACAAGTGTTAGATTTTTTGTTAAGTCCCACAGGTCCCTGAGGCTTTATTTTTTTCAGTGTATTTTCTGTTGTTTAGGTTCAGTAATTTCTATTGTTCTGTCTAGAAGTTCACTGATTCTTTCCTCTATTCCTTACATCCTGATGTTAGGCGCATATGCCAAGTTTTAAATTTTGGTTATTATATTTTTCAGTTCTAAAATTTCCATTTGGTTCTTCCTCATACCTTCAATTCTTTTCTGAAATTTCCTAATTCTCTGTTGAGATGTTCTAGATTTTCATTAGTTTCAAATGGGTTTATAATTGCTTGTTGAAACATTTTTATAATGACAGCTTTAAAATTCTTGTCAGATAATTTGAACATCTCATTCATCCTAGTGTTTGCACCTGTTGATTGTCTTTCCTAATTAAATTTGAGATTATTCTGGTTCTTGGTATGAGTTTTAATTGAAACCTGGGCATTTTGAGTATTATGTTAGGAGACCCTGGATCTTATCTAAATCTTGTATTCAAGACCTTTCTGATATCACTCTGGTGGGGCACTGCGTTGTTACTTTTAGGTAGGAGAAATCCAGGTTCCCCACTCAACCTTGGTTGACACTAGTGGGGGGCAGGAGGGCCTCCTTGTTACTGCTGGGTGTGGAAGGGAGTTTGGGCCACCATTGATACCACTTTGGCTGGGAGGTGTAAGAGTGCTTCATTACTGTTCCCCACATTGTTTCCACTGACACCATCAAGTGGTGGCCTCATTACCACTTGGCAGTGGTGAATGTCCTGACCCTCCACTAGGCCTCCTCTTGACACCAGCTCAGCAAGCATGGGGAGTGATGCCTCATTACTGCTGGGTGGGAATGGAAGTCCAGGTTCCCCAGTATGGTGGTGGTGGTAGAGATTTGAAGTGCCCATTACAGCCTGTTGAGGGTGGAATCCAGACTCCTGATGAGTGTGGGTGTCTTGGCTTCTTCCAGAAGTCCCAAAACTATCTAGACAACTGAAGTTTTTGTAATACTTGAAAGTCTGTCTATACTTGGCTCCCTATCTCCCCTCAACCCTTACCTTATATTTATTTTATCATCAATGTATTTGGACATCAGTTAAGGGCAATCTTTAAGACACTGGTAAGTATGGGAAGACCTAATAAATTTTTTTTGAATTTATTTTTGATCCTGAGATAAAGGATTAGTTCTAAGATTAGATAAACCATGACTCTGTTGTATTACTTTTTATCATCTGTATAGGTTAATGTGGCAGTAACATTATAAATGAACTACATATTTCTATAAGTACCACATGCTGATTGCTGAACTACGCATTTCTAAATGCATCAGGTTAAGTATTTAGTTGTTTACAAGGAAATTAAATTTATTTTCCTATAATTGAATGGACTTCTTCTCCGATATTGATTGTACTTACACAAGTATTAACATAATAGTGCTACAAATTATGTACTAGTTAGTCCATACCGCTCAGCATGATACAAATTTTATACAATTTAAAAATATTGATATATCTATGCATATATTAATTATATTAACTTGGTAAATTCAAATTACTCTTCCCAGTTCCTAGTGTAGTAAGATAGAATTAAGAAACAAGAATCAGTACAAGGTGATAAGAGGTTTAATTTTACAATAATGGAGAGATGTAGCCACAAATAAAAAGTAGATTAGGACTGCCTATGTATTGGGCTTATGTAGAAGTTGGGGAGGGATAAGGATGAAGTGATTGATACATTTAGAACTCTAGAGTAAAAGCTAGAAAGATTTTAGAAATTCCAACCTTCCTATATTTTTGAGGTCTTTGAATGCATTGTGTCTTGCACTTTATTTACCCCATGGTATTTAATCTTCAAAATAGTGTTATAAAGTGGCTACATTTTCTCTTTTTAACAGATGAGGGAACTGCAGCTCAAACTAGACTTTTTGAAAGTCACCCAGTTGTCAAGTGATATAGTAAAGATTCAAACCTAGATCTTATGATTCCACAATCCATAATCCTTTGATTCAACCGCTCTGACTTCCATATGGGTTTTCAGATTCACTTTTCATAGAAATAACTATAAAAATAATTTATCCCACTTCTCCAGCGAGGACCTAAACCATTATAACTATTTTTTAAAAAAGATTTTATTTACTTATTTTTAGAGAGGGAGAAAGAGAGCAAGAAAAAGATAGAGGGAAACATTGGTTGCCTCTTGCATGCACCCTGACTAGGTACTGAATGTGAAATCCAGGGATGTGACCTGATGGGAATTGAACCTGCAGCCTTTAGCTTTACCGGATGATGCCCAACCAACTGAGCCACATGGGTCAGGTCAAACTTTCCTAACTGTTGTACATACATTTATTTGACAGATTATAAACTACCTGATATCTAAAAAACTACCTAGTGATAGGACTTGTTACTGTGTAAAAACTGTCTCATGCTTCATAATAGAAGATGGTATCTGTAGTTGGACTAGACCCAGAGTTTCGGCTTAGAGTGTAACTTTCCTGGGATCGTAAAGCCTGTGCAGAATAAGGATTTGATCCAGGTCTGCTTGATTCCAACCCACCCACTGCAAATACTCAATGCAAATTTGCTATTACCTAGAAATGACTAAGTGCTGGGAAAATTTTTGAGGGGTTGGGGGTGGGTAGCCTTATACTCTAGGAAAGGGCCTGAGTCAAGAACCACCAACTCCAGGAAGGTGGCCAAATAATGGCAGAATTTGTATCTCTGCTCGTGCGCTCGTTTGTGTGTGTGTGTGTGGTGAGGTGAGAGTGGTGTCAAAATCTCCCAGGCTCTGAAGGTTACAGTTTGTGACAAAGTTAACCTTGTATGTGTTAATTTAGCTGTCGAAAACATTCAGCCCTCTACGCTCGCTTATTGAAATAAAATGGAATATCATAAAGAATCGAAGAGGTGATAATGAAGAAAGCAATTAAACATGAAATGTAATATACATAAAACTACAGTTTATTAGTCTAGTTACTAGTCTTACGGGAACACTTTAAAACTGTGTGCAAAATCAGTTGAGATTTCCATAGCTTCTCACTGAATACTGCTAGGATTAGAGTCAGCACTGAATTGTCTTCCTTATATTTTGAAATCCAAGTTAAATATATTTTGTCTATTGTTACATTATTGAAAATGTGACTGCATGTTTTTAAATTCATGTCCATTAATTTTTTTCCTTTCCCTGAAGACATATCTTATTAAATTTGTCTTTTGACCAAAGGCATCTTTTTTCTCCTATAATTAGGAGAAATCTATCACTATGGATTCAAAGTCAGACTGGTGACTTTTATTTGCATCTGAGACACGATCAGAACAAGAAAGTGTTATCTCTGTCTGAGGCACGTTGTGGGGGATAAAGGCTTTTGGGGGTTGCAAATTATGATGAGAATCTTAAATGTTTTCTCTTAGGCCTGTCCGTAAGCAGCCCCAACTCGTCCATGCTGGCCCCACTGAGATCGCAGCAATAGAAACCAACATTCTGAAGATTCCGCTTAACAAATTTCCGTCATTGCTTTTTCTTACAAAACCGTTGTGAAGTAGAGATAAAACGCAGGCAGCAAGAAAACTTGGCCCCAAAGTGCCGCCAACAGACCTTCGGCGGTGGGGAGCCTCAGACCCAGTGGGCGACTCTTCCTTCCGTCAGGACGGGGAAGCCTTTCCCCCTTCACTTTCGGCGCGAATGACGGTACCAGGACCTGGAGCCTAGGCCCGGCCCAGGGCGGCACGCGAGCTGCGAGCACGGGGCGGGCCGCCGCTCTCCGAGCGCGCTTCTCGCGGAGGCCATTATTTCCTGCAGTGCCCAAAGCGTGTGCCTTCTGCGGAGGGCGGAGGTCAGAGGCCCAGATCCGAGACCCTAACCAGGACCTGGGGAACCCGGGACTCTCGGAGCGCGGGGCTCCTAAAACCGCGGGCTGGGCCCACCTCTGAGCTCCCCGGCAAAAGCGTCAGTGGCGTCCACGCTCACAGCTCGCGCCTGCTACGGGCGGTGCCGGACGTCGCCTTTCCTCCCCGCTCCCCTCCCCCTCCCAAACCCGCCGCAACTCCCTAGGTGATACGGCCCAGACTCTCCATTCTCTGTCCCAGAGTATTTAAGCAGCACAACCTAACAAGCTGCTCCCCCTCGCAGACAACCCTTCCCCTCGACAGACGGACGCAGCAGCCAACCACCGGCTAGAATTGGCCGGCGTCCGGCTCCTCAGCGATGGCAGACTCGGTGGGCGGGGCTCGGGCAGCTAGCAAGTTCAGTGGAGCCACGGCTGACGTGAGTCAACAAAGGTCACGTGAGGCAAGCGGGCCTTGCAGATTGGCGGTCTTGGTCGGGCGGGGAGGGGGGGTCACGGCAGCGGCGTGGGGTTCGCTGTGTGACACAATTACAACAACTTTGTGCTGGTGCCGGGGAAGTTTGTGTCTCCAACAAATCCCTCCCGTGCCCCCCAGCCCCGTACGCTCCGGCCATTCCCGCCGTCCCCGCCCGTGGCTCCCCCCCGCCTGCCCCCGCGATGTGACCCTTCAGCTGAGCCGCTGCTGCTGCCGACCCGGGGGCTCCGCAGCCCCTACCACCGCCGCCTTTACCGCTGCCGCGTTCGGATTTCTCGTCGCTGCCGCCTGCGGCGGAGGAGGAGGTGGCGATAAAGTTGGTGTGCAGGTCCCGCGCGGAGATTGGGGACGTCGTTGCGGGCCCCTGCCCGGGGCGGGTGTCGGCATTGGAGTTGTGAATTCGCTGCGTTTCCATGAAATCCTGCGGAGTGTCGCTCGCTACCGCCGCCGCTGCCGCCGCCGCCGCTTTCGGTGATGAGGAAAAGAAAATGGCGGCGGGAAAAGCGAGCGGCGAGAGCGAGGAGGCGTCCCCCAGCCTGACAGCCGAGGAGAGGGAGGCGCTCGGCGGACTGGACAGGTACGGACCGCCGTCACCCACCCGGTCGGGTCCAGACGGACTGGCGCCGCTCTCCGGGACGGCCCGAGCGCGGCTCGTCTTTGGCGGCGGCGGGGCGGGCACCTGGGCTCGGCGCTCTCCGTGCAGTATCCGCTTGCGGGGCCTCGGGCTCGGGCCGGGGTGGGTCGGTGGCGTTCCCGGAGCTTTGACGAGCCGCGTGTGTCTCTCCCTACAGCCGCCTCTTCGGGTTCGTGAGGTTTCATGAAGATGGCGCCAGGACGAAGGCCCTATTGGGCAAGGTAAGGCAGCCACGGGCTGGACCGCGGACACGATCTCACTGGCCAGTGCCTTCCTCCTCCTCGGCCCCGCGGCGGGGCCAGCGCTCATTGTGGGCCGTGAGCTAGGGCCGAGGGGCTTCCGGAAAACTATTTCCTGCCTCTGCTCCCCCCACCCCCCACCCCCACTGCCGGATACCTTTCTGACTCCCTTGCGAAATCGCCCTCTTCGCTCGTAGCTGGAGGAACGGAGACGGTACCGCTTTGGGGCCGAGCTCATCTGGGTCGACAGAACTGCCTGTTCTTCGCCGGCTTTTGGGGGGTAGACCGATATTCTGAAAGATGCCTGTTTAGGGTCAAGAGATCGTAAATGTGTACACATGTCCTCAAATTTCCGACTTACTTGCCTCCCCGGTTTTTATTCTTTTCCTTCAGGCAGCCTCTTCGTGATAGCTGTTGGTAACCAAACGTTGTGGGCTTTCTTGTGTCCCTGCCCCAGAAGGGGGAAGTTACACGTAGTTTAGGGCGATGAAGAGTTTGCATTGGGCTGTTGACATGCATCTCGATTGTATGTGTTTTACCTGAAGTTAGGTAGGTGACTTGTTTACTTTTTGGGTCTTTCTGTCATAGAAATCCCGCAGTTATCTGTGAATGTATTTTTTTTTACTTGGAACCTCGTTTTCCTATGTGTCTGGCAGCGGAATCCAGAGAGGGATTCGGGGTGTAGCTTCTGTTTATTTGTGTGGAAAGTTGTTGGCACTGTCATTTAGTTAAGTAATGGCTGCTCCTATCGGCCCAAGATGGCGGGACAGGGTGGGAGGAGAAAGTGAAGGGGGGGGTTGGGGAGGGAAGAGAGGTAAACATGGAAATAAATAGTAGTGATGAATAGGCCTCTCCTTGGGAGTGTGTAGGTCGTGATGTTAAGTACAATTTATCCAAGATAATTTGCATATAGAATTCTCGTACCTTTTTCAAGCTTGGAAGCAGCATTTATAAACTGGTAAATGGCTTATCAACCTGTAGCACATTTAGTTTCCCTTCCGTTAGCTGTTGAACAAAGGCTGTAGAGTCTCCATCCGCATGCATCAGTTTGTGTCTCCTAACCAAAACCTGATTGAAATGATATTTGTGTTCTTTCTTGTTAATTGGGACTGTGAAACTTGGAATGTGTGATAGGTGTTGCATCCATTAGACATTTTCTTTTCTAGCTGAAATCAGTAGCCTTGCATTTGACACTTAGCTTTATTGTTGCAATTGAGAAGAAAGTTTGAAATGACTAAAGTCTAGCATTTTATTCTCGAGTTAAACATTTTTTATTTAGTTGTCCTGAATTTTTGTCTGTAGTTTGGGTGGGAGAGTCACTGAGTCCTTTTATCTGTAATTATGCTGTTGTTTTTGTTTCAGAGTAACTAAACACAAGGGGTTTCCATCACAAATACTGACCTGAAAGCTAAACAGAAATAATCTTTCAGTAAGCCTAGTCCCTTTCACCGAGACAGATAATGAATTAAACTTTGACTATGTAGGTATTAATTAGCTTCATTAAAATTATCACTGGAAAAGTGAATAGTGACTAGCTCTGAAATGATCTTAAACATCAATGATTTTAAGCCTTGAAAAAATTTTTTTCAATCAGTATTTAAAATATTTTATTTAAAAATACTTGGCTACTGTCAAAGTTGTCATTTCAAAAGATTAAACAAAACAATTTAAATTTAAGGAGCATTTTTTTATTTTGAACCGAATAACACAGGTCTAATATGGTTGGTAAAATTTTTTCCAAGATAATTCATTTGGAAAAGTTTGGCCAAATGTATTGCTTTTGGCTACAGTACTGAAAAAATAAATGCAGCCTGGTGTTTTATATGGCTAATATGTAAAATGCTAGTTGACGATTTCATGTCTCAGAATGCTCATATTTAGGTGGGTTCACATTGGCTATCAGATTGTAATATTGAACCCTGAAGGTATGCATTACTGAGTTTAGATTTTGAAGAACTGAACATTTTCAAATATTTTTTAATGAAAGTGTATATTACTTTCTTGATGTTTGAATACAATAACATCCTGAAAATGAGAAACTTGCGAAGCTTCATTAGGTTTTGGGGAAAATTAAGGCTTCGTAAAATACTGGGTAATTTGATAAACTACTAAGTATTTTTGTTGAGCTGAAGAAAAAAATCTTCATTACTTCAGACTTAGTGCTTGTGAGGTTCTACCTATTTTAGTCAAGATTCACTAGCTTTAATATTAAAACAGTCTAGAGTCTGCTTGCAGTTTCATGCAGTTCTTGGTTGCATCTTTGTGAGCTTGAATATATCAATGAAATGTGTGATGTAAAGCTTGACATTATATAACCTCCAACCATGTGGTGGAATTGGATTCTGAATAGAATGAGTGAGCTGGAGTCCTTTTATAGGAAGTATTGAATTATTTAGTTTTATTTAGTTTTGTCCATCTTTTGAACAGTCATGGGAATTTGTTTTTGTTTTTTTTTTTGTGGAATGCTGACCTATGTTGGTTTCAGAATTCTTATTCTTTGGAAGTCCTAAGAACAAGAATTGGCTTTTCTTTGTCCGGGTAGGTTCAGGCTACTTAGCAGAGGGCAAATAATGGAATTGAATAACTCCCACGATTTTCTTTCTAGCTAGAATTTTTGTCATTACCCTCTGCTCCCCAAGACAAATTTAGTGTGCACCTTGTGTACTCTTTTTTTTCTTTCTGACAGAAACTTAACTATTACTACTTGTTTTAAAATTTTTATTTCTATACATATTATTGGATCTTCTGTGAAGTTTTTTTAAATTCAAATTTGTAGGTTTTCAAAAAAAATAACGCTAGACTTAAAGGCTTTGGAAAATTTAAAACATTTAATAAGTGTCTCTTACTTGCTGCTAAATTTGTATGTTCCTTTACCAGGTGTGAGGATACTTGATCCAAACTGCTGCTTTCTCTTAGTCCCTGAATGTTTTGTAAGATTCATTTATGTTGGAGTCATTGAACATTTTTCTTTTTATGTTTGCCATTTTATATATACTACCTAGGGTTTTGGGCTAAAGAAATGGGAATACAGCATATTACTTTTGTAGTAATATCTTTAAAGTAATTTTAAAAGATTGTAAACAGTGAGAGAGGTTGCTTAACCAGAGTTCTTGAAATATAGCATGTTTCTGACCACTTTGCTCTTTAAACTGATGATTAATCTTTTGGTAATACGGGAATTCAAGATTCTTATTTTTTTTAATGACAGTGGAGTTACTGGGAAGTAATTAAGAACTGAAACATTTTAACAAATCAACCAGATCATTTTTAAAGCATCATTTGAAAACAGTTAATCTTGTTTTCAGTTAGATAAGGATTTGAGTTAAAGTATAATATAGAGTAATATGTAGCATAAATATTTTAAGAGCATAAATATGGTAATATTATAGAGCACATTTATAGTAATAATGCTAAAGAGCTGGGGAATCTTTTTTAAATACCATTGTGGTTTTATTTTACTATGATTTAAAGAAGTTTTTTATTTTTCAGTTACATTTGACAATACAATATTGTATTAGTTTCATGTATACAGCATGATTATTAGACATTTAAATAACTTATGAAGTGATCACCTTGATCAGTCTACTCATCTGGTACCATACATAGTTACTAAATATTGTTGACTCCATTTCTTATGCTGTAATTAATATCCCCATGACTATTTTTGTAACTGGCAATTTTTGTTTCTTAATTCCTTTCACCTTTTTCACCCATCAGGGCTGGGGAATCTTATGTGTGTCAGGGAACTATTGCTAAAATACATAGTTGTTCGTTTTGAAGTATTTTTATAGTTGCATGTAGATGATATGGGAAAATTATTAGGTCAGTTCTGGAGGTAGTTTTTTTGGTCTTAGAATA